TTTTTTTTTTTTTTTTTTTTTTAAGATATTTCTCACTTTCTTAAAATTTTCACTTGGGGATTAAAATTGTTAGTGGCATCACTATATAGCTATACATATTCATGAAAACCTTTATAAAATTTTGTGAGATGATTTACTGGGAACTACCATTAAAAAAAGCCTTTAACCTCAAAAACATAACATTGTATGACAAATGCTTAGCTACAACTAAACTGAAACGAATATGCTGTAGTACATTGAATGTTTCATTACTTTCCTTGTACCATAATAAATATCCTAAATGAGGTGTCAGTCATTTAGAAGGACATGATTCCTGCCTTTATCAATAACACAAAATAAATGATAGAATTTGTACTTTTTTAGACCCTGCTACTTCTGTAGCTTTTTCTCTTTCTGCCTCTGCCTCCCCCTCCCCTCTTTCACCTTATTCAGTCTCATGGTAGTTCATGAACTAAAGACTTTTGAGAAGTTGTGGCTTATTTTTGTTCCCCAGGAACAGAAAGAAGCAGCATAGGAATCAAGTACAGCCCAGGAGTAGATGATGAAGGGCATATATACTTGTATTTTTGGAGCGACTTCTTTCTTTGTGAGGCAGGCTCTTCCCTAAGCCCTATTTCTGGCTCAGTGAAAGTGGACCTGCCTCCTTTTGTCTTCCATCTTACCTTTGTCCTTGTGCTGCATTATTTTTATGAAAACAGAATACACTGAAGTATGGGAGCTTAAACTATAGACACCTGGAGTGTATAACTGGGTAGAATTTTTTAAATAATAATATGCTGTTGTGTTTCTTTTTTTTAGGATCAGACTCTGTGATTTTACTCAAAGTGAAAGATTCCCAGACTGCAACTCCCAGGTAAACTATGGAAAAAAAGACATTCTTGATATATTGTTTTCTTTTCCCTCTTTTTAATCACAATTTCTTCACTGAGAGTTGCATAACATAAAAGTAAAACTGCCTCAATTCAGATTTCTCGCCTGTGTTATTTGAATTATTTCAATGACTTTTTAATTAGTCATCTTCTTCCGTCCTCCTTGTTGTGCTTCAATCCATCTTCCGCCATATTCTCTAATCCATTCTTTGCCTGTTCTTTTCCATCTTCCATTCTACATCCAGAGTGGTCTTTCTACAATGCATATCTGATCATTCATTAAACTCCCTCAGGAGTGGCTATCAGACATAAAATCATGCCCAAACTCCTTAGTATGGTATACAAAGCATTTCCTCCACATGCCTTACTTCCTATCACACATTCTTTCCTTTAACAAGTACGAATTGATAACCTACTGTGTGCTGTGTCCTAATATAGACATTGGGGATAACAGCAGTGACCAAAATGAAATCCCTGCACTCAAGGGGCTTACATTCTAGTTGTAAGGGGTGTAAGGAAAGAGGTGGGGGACAAATTATGAACAAATAAATAAATGTGTATGTCTGATAGTGATAAATGCTGTGAAGAAAAATAAAGCAGGGCAATATATAGACTGGGGTTAGGGGGGCACTGTTTATTTGGGTGGTCATGGCAAGGCTGAGAAATGACATTTGAAGAGAGACATGATAGAGGTGAGAGAAGGAGCCATATGGGAAGATGGGAGTCTTTCATGTGTTAATTACACACACATTAGTAGTGTGTGATATGTGCTTTCTTACCTGCATAGTCATTGTTCCATCTGCCTTGTATGTAACCCTACCTCAACTTGTCTATCTAAAGAAGCAGGAGTCTCTTTCTTAGCTTTTAAGTCTCAATTCAAATGTAATTTTCTATATGATACTTGACTTCTATATGGAACTTCTTGCTCTGTAATTCAGTAGGTTACTACTTCGATTGCAGTTTCTTTGCCATTAGCAGTTCAGTTGCTGGAATGAAAATAGTATCCATTTTCCATTGAGAAAATTAGGAATAATGATGTTTCTTTCTCATCTCAGTTTCTGTACTTCTTTGCAACTCTCCTGTGTGTCCTAAATTTTAGATATTTTTAAAAAATTCTGTTATAATTTCTCAAGGAGACTTTACAGTTTGGATTCCTTATTCTTTATGTGTGGGTTTTATTTTATTTTGTTTTGTTTTTCTTTTGAGTCAGACCTGGGTTCTGATCTCGTCCAGGCATCACATAACTTTAGACAAGTTACTGTTCTGAACCTAGTTTCCTTATCAATAAAAATGCCAGTGTTAATACGTTACTGTTTATTGAATTGCTGTGAAGGTTAACATACAGAAAAATACTTACAATGAAAGTGTTTCAGGGTGCCTCAGTTAGTTGAGTGTCCAGCTCTTGATTTCAGCCCAGGTCATGATCCCAGGGCTGTGATATTGTGCCCTGTATCCAGCTCCTCACTGATACGGAGCCTGCTTGAGATTCATATTCTCTCTCTCTCTCTCTCTCCCTCTCTCCCTCTCCCCCTCTCCCCCTCCCTCCCTCCCTCCCCCACTCTCCTTCTCCCTCTCCCTCTCCCTCTCCCCCTCTCTCCCCCTCTCTCACCCCCACCCCCTTCCCTGCTTGCTCACTTGCTCTCTCAAATAAAATAAAAGTCGTTTAATGCGTAGTGCACAAAAGTAGGTATTCTTTATTGGGAAAAAGTCGATCTCATGTAGAGAATGCTTTTAATTCTTCAGTAGTTCTTTATTCTGTGTGCCTTTCCTTTATGGAGGATTTCTATTAGTGGTGCCTGAAGAATGAGAGGGAGGGAGAAATGATCTGTTGGATAAGGCCGATTGAATAATGCTGTTTATTGCAGTTGGAGCCCGCTTTCCCAAGTCTTGGCCAATTGGCTCTTTATTCTTAATCTCCCCCCACTGCCTGTCCATTAAATTCTAGCAGTGAAGATCTGCCCTTATTTCCTAGAATATAGCATGCTGTTTCCTGTTTTTGTGCCATTGTACATGCTGATCCTAACCCCTGGAATTTCCTCTCTTTCCTTGTCCACTTGTTAATCTCGCTTTGCTTTTCAAAATCTGACTCAGGTGTTATTTTTTTCTCAAGACATTACTCTGACTTCTCCAGATAGTATTAGTCTTTTCCTCTGGTACTTTTATCCCTATATCTTATTTATTACTAATACTTTTGCATTTATCATCTAATGTGGATCATAATGCCTGGCACATGATGGATACTTAGTAAATAAATCTTTGTTAAACAAATGAATTTCCTAGAAATCCTAAAAGGCTCTCTTGCATAGCCCAAGAACTCATCATCTTCATGTTGGTTTAAGGCTTTGGTTTATTGAAAGGTATGTTACAATAGTAGAAATCACAGTCTTTGGAATTGGACAGACACAGTTTCTAATCCTGACTCTTCCAAGACAGTTGATCCTTCTGAACTTCCCATTTCCTCTTCTATACACATGAGTAATAATTCCTTATTCTATATTATATTGAGGTTTAACTAAAAGAGAATTATCATGAGGCTTAACTAATATAAAGCAGCTAGAGCAGAATTTCACACAGAGTACTAAGTAGGTGCTCATAAGTAGTTGTAGTTATTTTTACTGTATGCTTCAATCATAATGAGAAATAATACATAATCTCTTTGAAAAGCAAGAAGATTTTGTTTTTTCCCCCTGCATTTTACTTTCCTAATCCATCAAATACCTACGTCTACTGAAGAGAAATACTTTTCCCTTACATTATTCACGTATTCAATAAACACTGAGTACTTGCTGTGTGCCAGGCACAATTCTTGGTGCAGAGGATACAGGAGTAAATAGAAAAGACAAAATTCCTATCCTCATTAAGCTTATGTTCTAATAAAGGAAGCAGACAAATTTCAATAGCAAGATCTACTACTATGAAATTCTGGGCAATTCCTGTCACTTTATGTTGTGCAGTCAATATGTTTTCATGTTCATTCGTTTTTAGTATCACATACTAAGCCCCTCACAGTGCTACCACTGATCTTTGTGGCTTTCTATCTTGGTTGTTACATCAGTATCCACTGTGCCAAAGGCATAGGCCGCTTCTCCTATGTTTTCCCCTTATTAACCTCAGTGATAGTGGGGAGGCAGTAGAACAGCATATTCATTGCCAAACCCTAGCCTAAGGATGATTGGGAATACTAATTCTCAAAAGGTAGTCTGGGGAGCAAGGGATACCTTCTGAGTCCTTGTTCTTGCCTTCACTAAGACAGACTGTAGCAATTCAAGAACTGAAAGGGATTCTAACCTCCATGTTTTACAAATTTGAAGCTAAGGACCATGGAAATGAAGTGACTTGTTCAAAGTCACACAGTGAATCCGGGTCCACTCCAGGAGATCCAGGTCTCTTAACTCCCAATTTCATGCTCTGTGCACTTCTTCTACTTGTATCTGAAAGTTTTTTTTGGAAAAGTGTTCACTCTTCTGTTTGTTTCTGTGAGAGATCACAGTTAGGGATTGGCAAGGAGATGAGGATGTGTGAGAAGAGCAAGAGGCTCTGGAAGAGGGAACATACCTGTGACTATGCTAAGCATTATTCATTTGGGTTGTCAGCAAGAGCCGCGTGGAATAGAATTGGTTTCTCATCTTTGGAGTGGAGCTGTATCTTGCTAATTCTCCACTTTGGTTCATTGGCTAACTAACCATCTGATACAGACTATTCTGTCGGTGGGGATTTTCAGTATCCATTATGACTTGGTTGAATATATTTTGATTCAAGTAGACTGACAGGAAGAAGTCCAAGAAACCATAAGGTTTGACTAAATCATTAATAAATCTGTCAATCTAAACCATTTTGGAAGAGTAACGTTCTAGCTTAATATATTATCTTGACAAGTGATGTACTCTTTTGCGTTGGGTTGGTCTCATAAGGAGCAAGGTGCAAGTAAGGACCTGTGTTACAGTTAATTTCTCTGTTGAACTTTGGGCCATCTTTTTAACTACTATGTATGTGAGTGACTCATAGCTGTATTCCTTTAGTTCCCAGTTACAATTATTTTATGTAATTTATGACCTTCGCTTTATTGTATACATATAAAGCATTCTTTTAAATTATTTCAATGATTGATTTTCTTGGTGAAAATATTTGAATTTTCTTATGAGCCTCCTGTTCATTTGCCATTTTTTTTTCCCCACCATAGTCCTGCGTTTTTCCAGGCAGAGTTGTGGATCAAAGAATTGTAAGTTATTGTTTTTGGTATCATTTTTCTTTCTCAATCTCTTCCTTCTCAGAAGAAGTCAATTAGCCAATCACCCTACCTATTTTTAGTCAGTAAAAATTCCCTATTTATATCTATTTATAAAACAGCTTTTAAGTTGTTGGGTTTTAAAAATTCTCTTGGGGTTGGGGCATTTCTATGCTCAGGTTTATTAAATATATAACAATTGCTGAAGCTAAATTGAATTGGAAAACTATTTTGATATTAAGTATTACATAGAAAGGAAAATAAGTGCCCTTACTTTTACATTGGTAGAACTAATTTATTGAATAATTCACATTTCTGGAGTTTGCAAAATCACTAAAAGTTTTTAGTTTCCAGTTTTAATAACTCTAAGGTATTCAGATCCCTGGACTTGTTCACTGTTTTTAGAGAAAAAAATAAATCCATATTTTTTCTTTTGGATCATAAGTACAGTATTTGAATTAAAACCTCGATAGTATCTTGTATTATTTGCTCCTTTGGGATTCAATCACATTTTTGGATTTCTAGAATGAAGCTTCAGTCTCTCCATAATCTTAGAGATTATGTTAATCTCTAAATTTTAATGTTAAAAAAAAACTACTACACATTTACACATAGCCACAAATATCACCTGTTCACATTTAGCAACAAACTAATAATTTCATCATTTGATTAAAAATAGTATGATAATTTCAATAACACCATGTGGCTTCACTCTGTCTTAAATAGCGATAAGGTTAGTGTAGGCACTTTAGACTTTCTATATGGAGGTTTTATGTTTAGTGCTCATTGTTCATCAGTAACATGCATGATGCTAAGACAGTGGTCTGCATTTGTGTCACATTCCTTTTCATTTCCTAGAACTAGTGTTTATGATTCTCGAGCACGGGAGAGATTGCGCCAGATTGAAGAGCAGAAAGCACTAGCATTGCAGCTTCAAAACCAGGTAAAAAACAAAATTGGGGATAAGATTGTAAATAAATAGCACATCCAAGTTGCAACTAATTTGGAAGATTACCTGGATTTGGGATCAAAGTTGTAATTGCGAGCTGCTATAATAGCATAGCACTTATATTGTGTGATTAGTCTATGTGCTTGGTCTCTCCAGATGGTTCTACTCAGTGTATGTAGACAAATTGTAGTTTTCTTTATCCCACTTATTCTAAAGTTCTGTTTTGCAGAGACTGCAGGAACAGGAACATTCAGTACATGATTCAGTAGAACTGCATCTTCGTGTACCTCTTGAAAAGGAGATCCCTGTAACGATCACCCAAGAAACAGAAAAGAAAGGTCATAAATTAACTGATAGTGAAGATGAATTTCCTGAAATCACAGAGGTAAATTACGTACTATGGATTCTTGTGCTAACAAGTGTGTTTAGAAAAGATACTTAGAATGAATTTCAAACACAGAAATAATAGAATACCTGGCATTTAAAGTATCCGTTGTATTGCATACTCCCGGTTTCATTTGTATTACTAATCTTGGCTTTATTTTTAAAGGATTACTGAAAATTGAAGAAAGAATTGTGAGTGGTTTTTCATGACTTCAGTGAAAAAACATTTAATAAATTTGTGTTTTATGTACATTTTTACTTTTAATGTATATGTACGGGTAGTTTGACATCAGATAGTAAGTTGAGGCTTACTACTTTTTTAAGTAATAAAAAATCAGTTAAATATATTAAAGTCTGTACATGTTTTTAATATTTATTTTTGAGAGTGCGTGTGTGCAAGCACAAGCTTGGGAGGGTCAGAGATAGATGGGGACAGAGGATCTGAAGTGGGCTTTGTGCTGACAGCAGCACAAATGCAAGGCTCAGACTCACAAACCGTGAGATCATGACTAAGGCTGGGTTGAATGCTTAACTGACTGAGCCACCCAGGCACCCCAAAGTCTTTGTACATTTTAAGATAATCTGTTCCTTGACTCATTCTTCTGTTTGAAAAACTATCATATAGTTAGTAAGTATAACACATGTATTATAGGGTGCTGGATTCCATAATTTACATTTTAAAAACCCAAATTTGTCTAGAAAAATGTCTGAAACACACTACCTGTATCCCCTGCTACCTTTTGGGAAAGAGTCTATTTGTTAAGAAATTGTGTGGGCCAAAGATATGAAGTATAATTAGGTCTTCTTGTAGACTTAGAAAGTTTGATAGCAGAAGGTTATTTCAGACTTTAGGAATAAAAGGAAGAAAGGTCTGAAATGTTGTGCTGCAACGAGAAGCGGGGACAGGATAGAATGAAAGGAGATAACCCAGGAGATTACTGGAAAGAATAAAAACCAAAATGTTAGAAGTGAACAGTTGATTACTGATACAGTCTGGGGGTTATATGGGGTTTGGTGAGAAATCTAGTGTGTCTGTAGCCATGTACACTTCATCTCTGGTACCTCTTGGTTCCCTAGGAAATGGAGAAGGAAATAAAAAATGTATTTCGTAATGGGAACCAAGATGAAGTTCTGAGTGAAGCATTCCGCTTGACCATTACACGCAAAGATATTCAAACTCTGAACCATCTGAACTGGCTCAATGATGAGGTAATCTCGCACCTGTTTTTATATTCAAATAGTAAGCATTAAGTGGAAACTAAGTCAAGGTGTTACCTCACTGTTTCTTGAAACGTGGTCCTCAGATGACCTGTGTAGAATCAGCTCTCTTAGGGTTTCTCCATTCTCCTGAATAAGTATGAGACAGTGGGGTGGAGATACTCATTTTCAGCAAATACCCCAGTTTATTTTTTATGTACCTTCAAGTCTGAGAACTGCTGATTTACCATTTTATGTATAGACAGTTTAGACACTGAGGGAGAGGACATTCATTCTCACTCTCTTTAAGGCACCTACCCAGCAGTTCATCTATTGAACAAATATTTAATAGTGGACTGTGTTGTAGCATGAAGGAGTTCTTTGGGATTTCCATTAGGGATTCCATTTCTACTTCCTTTTTTATCTCTACTTGTTCTAGATCACTTAGGATATGAGAGATAAGCTTTCTCAAGTAGCCTACATTTATAAGTAGCCTACATTTATTACATATATGATATATATATTTTGGAAGTGCTTATTTTTGAGAGCGAGAGTGCGCATGTGTGTGCAAGTGGGAGAGGGGCAGAAGGAGAGGTACACAGAGGAACTGAAGCAGGCTCTGTGCTGACAAAAGAGAGCCCAATGCCAGGCTCAAACTCACAAACCGTGAGATCATGACCTGAGCCAAAGTTGGATGCTTAACCGACTGAGCCACCCAGACACCCCCGTGATATTTTTTAAACTGACATTGAAAAAGCTGTATTATTAAATATTTGATGTACTGGGTTGAAAGAAAGGAAAGAAAGCTATGGCTCTCAGCTTCTGCTAATAATTTTAAGTAGATTAATTATACTACAGTCTTTAAACAATCTTAAACTTGTAGGAGCCTATTTTATTTCAGAGCGATATTTTCATGGCAAAAGAAGAGAAATGGGTTGGGTTTTTTCCCTGAGTAACTTCTTCCTTTCTTAGGCCCAGAAGAAACATCCTTGCCTGATATATTGAGTATACTCAAAACTTCACAGCTGTGGGAGATTTTTAGAAACTCAGTATAGTATGCACTAGCTATTCTAGATACCTAAAGTTTTGTCTTGCATGCTTACAGTCTTCCAAATAATAATATTGGCTAACATCTTTTGAGCATTTACCTCATGCTAGGCACTATTATTGTAAGTGTTTTATGTGTTCTATTCATATAACAGTCGCCACAAACCTTGGAGAGGTATATACTGTAGTTTAACTGTCTCTATTTTATAGATGAAGAAACAAAGCCTGGAAAGATTAAGAAACTTCTAAAGTTATATGGCTAATAAGTAGCAGAGTCAGGATTTAGACCCAAGCGTTAGATCTTATCTGTTATACTATACTGCCTCAGAATCTTAAATTGGATCCTGTCTTAGGATTAGATGTATTGAATGTGAGAGCCATATGCCATGCCCAGCATGTTGATTTTCTTTAGGGCCAGCTGGACTAGCCCCATTCTTTTTGCCAAAGGTCAGTTTCTAAAATACAAATTTCAGAAGTTCATCACTGCCTGAATAAATCTTTGAACAAAAATGTTAAGGAATATATGGTTTGACATTGTCTTGCTTTAGGGGAAACCACCCTTGCTCAGAATAGTGATACTAGAACTTTGGATCAAATAACAGAAAGAAAAAAAAAGAGTTCACCAAATCAAAGGGCAAAATAGAATCAAAGACAGTCAAAAGTATCCACCAATTAAGTGTTTTTGATTTTAAGACATTAATCTGTGGCTTCTTGCCATTTTTTGCCTACTACTGCTAAATGGGAAGAGGTCAGTTGTTCTATTTGGCTTGTAGCTCATTTGTTGTAAATTACGCAAAACCTCCTAGAGGGCAGCAATGAGTAGGATATGAGATGAGTCCTTGCTATTTACTGTGGCAGTTACCTCAGTGAGATACCTTACAGAGGCGGCATTCATCAGGACATATTTTCCATTCCCTCGGCCCATCAAAGGTTTGGTTTCTAGCAAGCAAAGTTAATGGGAACTACATTATGTAGGAGAGTCGAGGAGACGGAGAGATTCCTTGTCTACTTTATCTCTACTACACCTACCCATAACTTGTGTAGGGAGTGCTTGCTAGAATTATGTTAACCTTGAAAGCAGGTACCAGTTCACATGTCTGTGATGATGATAACTATTTTGAAGTGCACCATTGTCAAAGTACTGTATTTTTCAGGCTTTTAAGGTTACTGTTCTTGAGAAGTTAACATTCTGATGAGGAAATAGTAGATATCCTTAAGTATTCATGTTCATTTAAAAATAAGTTATTCGTTTCTCAGTTGTGAATTCTCAGTTTTCTTTTGCAAGTAATTTGTCCTCTCTTCAATCCTATTCTTCCCTCAAATATATATTTTCATTATAACCATTTCTCTTCTTTCTGTATTTCCTATCACTTTTATAGGCTGCTTTAAACATTTCTCCAAAATAAGGTAACTGATATAATATTCTTACCATTTTATAGACAAGGAATATAAGACCCTAGAAGTAAAAGGGATCAGATTTAGTTTAATAAGGAAAATAAAACCTAGAAGTCCTGTATTTAGAATATGTACAGAAAGCTATTAGGCTACCCTTTCTCTGATCTCTTTACTAAAAGAAGAGTTGGCTACATTACCTGTTCATAAAATAACAGCTTTCAAACATATTTTCATGCGTGGATTTATGTATAGATGAATAGTTAAATTCTGTATAGCTTCAGAGGACTAATGATTGACAGGATTGACATTTTAACTCACTATAAGAAAATGAAACTTCTCAAAAATGGAATGTGGGAACTAGCTGCCTTTGTAAAGAATACAAAAGGAGGCTGGAAGGCCGATAACACCAGGGACATTATAGATGGGGATTTCTATACTGGGTCTGGCAATTAGTTTTGAATAGAAATATCTAAAGAAAGGAGGTCAGGGTTAAGAAGAGGTGGAATTAGTTGCAAAACTAGATTAAAAATCACAATCAAGAAACAAAGGAAATGTTTTAAAAATACTTGTTTACTTTTAATATAATTTATTGTCAAGTTGACTAAATAGTATATACAGTATGCTCTTGATTTGGGGGGTAGATTCCTGTGATTCATCGCTTACATACAACACCCAGTACTCATACCAACAAGTGGCCTCCTCAATGCCCATCACCCATTTTCCCCTCTCCCCTGTCCCCACCCCCAATCAAGCTTCTGTTTGTTCTCTGTATTTGTCTCTTATGGTTTGCCTCCCTCCCTCTCTGTTTGTAACTATTTTTTTCTCCTTCCCCCATGGTCTTCTGTTAAGTTTCTCAAGTTCCACATATGAGGGAAAACATATGATATCTTTATTTTAGAGAGATTGAGAAAGAGAGAGAGAGAGCGTGAAGAGGGGAGGGGCAGATAGAGAGGGAGACATCAAATCCGAAGCAGGCTCTGGGCTCCACACTGTCAGCACAGACCCCAGTGTGGGGCTCAGACTCAAGAACCATGAGATCATGACCTGAGCCAAAGTCAAATGCTTAACTGACTGAGCCACCCAGGTGTCCCAGAAAGGAAATATTTTTAAATGGATGCCAGCACTAGAAATTATTTGTTGATTCCTGGCGATTGATTTAGGTAACTTCTGTGATTCAGTGGCTTGATGTTTGTGCTTTATAGCCTGATGATTCTACTTCTTAGAGGGCTTAAGCATTGTTTTATAAGTCTTCAGATAAATTTAGAAATACATGGAAATTATGTAGGCATACAAATAAATGGATCTGACTTCTGTTTCTGGTCATGATAAAATAAAATGGATGAGGTTTACCCTTTCAGTTTAGCTAGAAAACTGAACAAAACATGAGACAACAATTTTCAGATGGTGGATAACAAGATCCCTGAGAGAAGGAAAATGAAAGGGATGAGCTGATGATTTCCCCACCTCACTAGGGTGGTATGTTGAGGGTAGAGAGCTGGAAGAACCTGGAAGTATCTGACAGTCTTGCCAAGTGGAGGAGACAATTCAGACATCAGGGGGGTGAAAGTCGCTAAGGTTTGTGAGGTACAATACTGAAGGGAGGGTGGCTGCACAAAGAGAAAGTCCCAGAGACATGCAGAGGCCCCACTTAAATCTTTGAGCATTGATCTGTACGTATATAGAAAGAAAATACCAGAGGCTAGGGAAAGAACACCAGAAAAAAGGAATCAGAACAAACCTCAAAGCTAACACAGGTGCTTAGAGTAGTTCGTATTCCAACCAGTTAGAGTGGAAAGGTCATGAGGCATTGAATAGAGCCTCAAAAGGATATTACCTCAGGAGTTGGGCCAAACTGGCCCTAGAATAGAGGCTACTCTGGACCTATGGTAGCAAAGTTTAATTTAAGCCTTGAAAACTTGAAAATGAGTTGAATGACTTACCTGTATCACAGAACAAAAGCCCAACAATATTTAAAGAAATACAAACATATTCTGGTAACAACAAAACCTAGTGACATGAAATCACAATATCCAGCATCCAATCAGATGTTACCAGGCATATAAGGTAGAAGGAAAATGCAATTTAGAACAAAGGAAAAAACAGTTACTAGAAATACCCAGAAATGACAAAAAATGATAGAACTAGCTTACGTTGGCAGGATATTAAAGAGGATATTATAAATACATTCCATATGGTTAGGAATTTAGAGGAAAATTAACATTATGGTGAGAAAAATGGAAGATGTCAAAGAAGACCTCAGTTGAACTTAACAGGGATGAAAAATACAGTATCTGAAATAGAGAATGTAAGAGGTAGGATTAATAGTAGATTGGACCCTACAGAAGAAAAAAGTAGTGAATTACAATATATGGCAACAGGAACAATCCAAATGAAACAAAAGGCTGAAAAAAGATGAGTATCAATGAGCTGTGGAGCAATATTAATCAGTCTAAGCATGTAATTAGAATCTCAGAAGGAAAGATGGGTGTAAGTGTTATCAGAAAAAATGTTTGAAGATACAATGGTAGATTTTCCAGCTTTGAAAACTTAAACACTGGCAGATTCAAGAA